GTCAAATGGATGACTTAATTAATTATCCCTTATCACGGGACTTTACGGTTTGTTTAAAAATATTGACAAAATACGGATGCAGCTGACAAGAAATTGGGGGGACAGCTTAAGGTAAACATCTTATTGTTGAAAGCGACAAAGTCATGATCAAAATGCATAATCACACATACCCGCGGCTCTTGCTTCTGCCTCTGCCTCTTCGTCTTCGTCGAAGTCAGAAGAATCATCCTTTGAAAGGCCTTCATAATACATCTTATAACGATCCATATCAGAGGATTCATCACGCATGCCATTAGAATGCTCGAATAGCTTGGAACGCAGATAATCTTCGACGAAGCGATATAGCTGATCATAGATAAAGAAGTAAAAATGATGCAGACATGTTCTGAGAAAAATAATGTTATGAAAAAAGTTTCCATTTGAGGCATGCAGACTAACCATAAGATCCTTATATTTGCTTATAGTTTCATCCATGAGCAGGTTTCTCTCTTTCAAATGCTTGACCATACTTTCGATAAGATGACGCCTCTGACCGATACCACGGACAGTGTGATAACGATCGGCAAATTCAGATTCCCATTTTGATCGTATCTGAAAAATAAAAAGCAGCCTCATAATTTAAAAACACACCAATACAATGGACCAAACAGAAAAACTAATTTTAAATAGCAATTACTGCCGGAGAAGAGCGGTAAAATCTACTTACATGTGGTTCAATTATCCCTCTGGCTTCTTGGACAATACGGAGGGTAAAATCAGTGCTAACTTCATCAAAAAGTTGATCATTTATTGTCTTCAAGCGTGGACAAAAATAGGCCAGCATTTGAGGATTTAAAAGCTAAAACATTAAATCATAGCTTCAATGAATAGGAAAATGTTGAAATAAATTCTCAGAAAAAAATAAATAAATATGAGCTCCCACTTGTTTCATGCGTTCATCCAACGTTAAACGCGTTAGCTGTGGAAACTGTTCAATTAATGGAAGATGAATAAAGCGATTTCCAGTTAAACCAAGTTGAGTTAAGCGAGGAAGATGCAAACGGCGGGGAAATATACGCAGGGCATTTTCAGATAGATCCAAATGCCGTAAATTAAGACAACGACATAGGGCTTCTGCATCGATGCTTGTGTATCCAGAACAAGGAACACACAGGGTCCTAACGGACTCTAGGCTCTTTGCCCCAGTGACTCTTAATATTTCAGTTTCATCAAGAGATCTATCATCTTCTTCTACTATTAGATTCATAGAAGTGGTAGCTAAAAAAATAAAATATTAGTATATGAATATAAAGCATATAGCATTAGATAGACAAAATTTAACTACCCATTTCATTGTCAGCCTGAGGATTAACAAAGGTGAATTGCGTTCGTCCAAGGTCTTCTAGCTGTTGATCACTGAGCATAGATATTGCTTGGGGGCCGCCCAAAGCATCAATGAGATCACTGCTATCAAGACCACAGGAAACACCGCTATCCTCATCGCCATATACACCACCACCAATAAAATTGGTATTTCCCGAACCGGTTCCGGAATAAGGTCCAGACCCACCACCAGTTGAATAAATATTCTGCCCATTTGGTCCGGTCATTTCTGCATAATGAGGAGTGTAGTAACCAGTATCACAGCCAGTTGCCATGTGGTCAGCGTTGGAACCATCCATACTAGTAGGATAGAGCATGCTCTGAATACGTGTTTGCAGAGTATCACCAGAAGGTCCGTTAGC